CCGTAGTTGCCGAAGAATGGACTGAGACTGATTGCCCAAAACGTGTTCTTAGACTACCAAGACAATATTCATTGCACACAATGTCATTCAAAAGTCAAGGTCAAGGTCAGGTCAGGTCACCAAAAACAAAATATAGAAAAGGGCATGTGCGACACATGTTTTATGGGTCATTTTACTCATGGAATTCAATAGGCACACTCAATAAGTGATATGGACCACCTCTGCATGAATTTCAGGTCGAGGTCAGGTCAAGGTCAGGTCAAGTGAGGTCAAATTTTGAAGTTGGTTGTTAAGACCTAAAAAGGTGTCTATTCGATGCAGTTTTTCACGGCGAATCGAATGGTGCCATTTTTGTTTCCGTACGAGGTCTAGAACTTCCAAAAAAATCATTTTTTCAAAATTTTTGTGTGTCGTGACGTCATAAAATTTTGAATAACTCCCACATTTTTGAACCGATTCTTCTAAAAATTGGTATGTAGGTGCACATAGACCACTTCTTTGACATATATTCCGGTTTTTTCGATAAACTCAAAATTTTGGATTTTATAAATATTTTCCCAAAAAAGTCAGTTTTTTGGAAAAATTTTGGCCAAAATCCAAAATTTTCAATAAACCGAGATAGCCATTTGATAGACAAAGTAGAATCACGTATAACCTTTTTTGTTATGTCTTGATTCCTTTAAAAATTAAGATGTTAGCGGCGTTTGAAATTTTGCCATTTTTGAGGCGAAAATGGCGAACATGACGTCACTAAAACGTCAATTTCTCAAAAATTTTCCGACGGATTTTGCTCAAATTTTCAGGGAACGTGTCAAATTGATGCATGATAAGGTACTGAAAGTTTGACGTCGCTGGCGTAACGCGTTTAGAAGTTATTGGCGAAAAACGGGAGGGGGGGCAGATTCTGCCCCCCCAGCGGGGCGCGGGTTAACCCGCGCCCTGCTGGGGGTGTTTGAACACCCCCCCTTGTAGTTTTTCGCGAATATCTCAAAAACGGCGGCGCGGAGCGCCGCCGTTTTTGGTACACCTTATCATACATCAATTCTACACATGTTGTTAAAATTTCAGACCAAGGTCATTCAAGGTCAGGTCACCAGGTCACTTGAAGTGACCTCACCTCATAAAAAGTTTCAATGTCTGTCATAGCTACACCGAGTGACCGATTGCTTTGAAACTTTCAGCGATTGCTAAGAGCAACAGCATGTACAAAATGTATCTCTCAGAATTTTGATATCGATGACCTAAGGTCAAGTCAATTTTGCGACCTCCCCATTATAAGTCAATGGGAGAAAATTGAAATGCGCCTCTTTTGGACAAAAGACATTATAAACACTCCCAAACACCGAGTTACAAGTGGTTTAGACACACTGAACATGAAAATGGTGTCCGTGACCCTTGTTTATGCCCTGAGGTCATCTTAGGTCACGAATGGTATCTAAGAGTTTTTCGCAAATAACTTTTGATAGAGGCATGCTAGAGCGATGAAAACGCCTTAGATGTGTTCAGCTCGACGATACGGATCGACTAATATGCAACATGACCCTTTCCGGTCAGGTCATGACCTTGACCTGAGGTCAAATTTTCAAGTTGACCTTTCAAGGTCAAGTTATAGTTCATTCGATGCGTCTTGACGAGAGGAACACAATGCCGGTAAAGGTAACCTCGTACAAGGCTTGGGTCAAAAGTTATTGCAGAAAAACTGTTTCCGAAAAAATCGGCTATTTTTGCAGTTTTTGCCCCCTGCAGGCAAAACCGTTGACGTTAGGTCAAATCTGAGAGAATTATTCAGAAAGGGCTTTAATAGGGCTATCGAATGCGCTTTTCCGCGGCGCTGTAGCTCTATTAGTTCTCGAGTTATGCGTTGGCTTCTTGGAAATTTTCGACATTCGACCTGGAAATCGGCGAAATTTTGCCTTCAATGACCTCTGGTGACCTGACCTTTGACCTGACCAAAAAATTGACCGAAGTGATATCGTCATTATTTTTGACGCTCTTTCGAACGCCGCTTTCCGCGTATCGCTACGTGGCCCAGGAGCCGAGTTACAAGGGGGGGGTGTTCAAACACCCCCCAGCAGGGCGTGGAAATCCAGGACCCCCAGCCGGGCGCGGGTTAAAGAGCGTCCCCACGGCCGGCCGGCCGGCCGCTCATACTCAGGATTTTCCCTTAATTCAGTATGAGACTCCGCTCGCTTCGCTCGCTCCGTAACAAGACCATTACCACCCTTTTTAGAAACAGTACCAACAAAAACCTTATTTACTATACTTTTTGTGTACCCCCAATCTCAATGATCTGTATCCGCCAATGATATTTGAAAATGCATATTTTTAGGAACCATGTGAATTCCTGGTTCATTCTCTATCGATCGGCAAAAGTTGCGTTAAGATTGGTTCAGAAACCTGGCCGTGATAAACAGTCTAAAATGTATCTGCAATTTGCCCGTTTTTACCCCCCTCTACCCCCCTATTGACATTTTTAATTTTTATTTTTTAGAAATGTAGATCACGTTGAGCGAAATCGAATGCCGTTTGAATTCTGAAAATCGGCCCGTTAGATCTCGAGATATCAAGGGGGGTCGTAAACAGACCCCCCTGCCACTAATAGGGGTAGCCAGAAGCCTGCCACTAATAGGGCTAGAGAGGAGCGATCTACTGACCCCGTGAGATCCACAAAGCAAGGCAAGTGTGCAAAACAGAGGAAAATTTTTTGAGCAATATGCACTGAATCAACTTCGCTACTATAATGCATTCATTTATTGACGCTGCTTATAGTTGCACTTTTTAACATGGGCAATTGTTGAGGGGAGCGGGTTTCCACATACCCCTCATGATTTCTTGTGAATACCCCGCGACGGCAGGTCTTCCCGAGTCCATTGGCGGCTTTCCCGACTCGCTAGCTCAATTTGATCGGGGGTTATTGACAAAAACTAATATGACTTTGATGCGTCATAAATGACGTCACGCAAGGTCAACATTGCTAACGTGACGCATCTAACCTTGCAAGACGTGCATCAAATCACGATTCTGGTTGCTTGAATAGTTGGAGATCGTTCCCGGCTTAGTTGGATATTTTTTCCATTGACTTATAATATGGTGAGGTCACGAAAATGACCTGACCTCATATGACCTTTAGGAAAAATCCGAGATATACAAGTTGTGAGACTCGTAATAGATACTAGATCCTTCAAGTTTCATTTCCCTGTGAAAGCTCCTCTGGCAGTGAGGGCGTTGCGATGTTGCGACATCTGAAGACCGTGCAGAGGTTCCCTTATGACGTCATAGGTCAGTTACCAGACCTGGCCTGAAAACGCGGTTGGTGTCAAAAGATTCAGCTTGAATCAAAGGTCAGGTAGGTTAGCCCTCGCCCGCGTATGGAGGGGGTGGTTGCCACCCCCCCCCCCCCCAGGTAGTCTTTCTGCTCTGCACTCGACATTTTTAGAGGTAGAAGGCTGATTTTTCGTATACCTGCTCCTCTGTCCTTTCTTGATGTCCACTGAAAATTTCAAGTTTCTGTGTTTTTTTGGTTTCGGAGATATGACCTTGTTTTTTAGGTCATGTCATGACCCAAATGGCCAATTCTCAACATCTTGCGTTTGCTATGGGCCTTGTGAGCTTTTGACACCTTGATTTCGGCCTTTTTTGCCAGTCTTACCTCCCACCTATCATGGAACATGTTGTTCGACGATGTACAGGTGTCAAGGTCAGGGTCAAGGTCAACCTAGGTCATCTAAGATAATTGCGTTTTAGGAAAGCTGAATTTACTTTTTGTGAAGTTTTTTGACTGCATTTTTGGTAACAGCTTCTCTGATCATGATTTCATGTAATATGGACACATAAATAATCGGTGCACACATCAGTATACACACAGACACACACAGACATACAAACACATATAACTGAACTTGACCTAGCTTGACCTGAAATGACCTCAGCAGCAAAAATCTGGTCTGGTAGTGTGACAAAGAGGTTCTAGCTGGCTTGGCGCCAGAAAACGGCATCGTCAACGGTATATGATAAGCAGCGCACTTGATATCCAACGGTGACCCAAAACAGCAACATTTTTTAGTTTGACCTGACCTGGAAGGTCAATGACTGACCTGAGAAGGTAAAACTGGGTATCATTTGTCCCTTCCCAAAGAATCTTTTTGGTCTTTACCGCTAAGCTCTATCTCCAACAGGAACGAAATGGCGCGGGGGGTGGCAACCACCCCCCCCCCCCATGTGCGTTCTAGGATGGGAAAATGGCATGTGCGGGCGAGGGTTAAGTTTCGGCTCTCTATCGTCAGCGTGGTTGGAGCTATGGCGAAAAAAAAACCTAATGGGGGCGGCACCCCCCTCGGCCCGCGAGGGGTAAATATCGAGGTCAAAGATATCGTATCTTGTGCATCTTGATAAGCTCTTTTCAATGCCTTTTGAATTTTTCCGATCCGACTATTGCTACCGGATATACGACAGGGGGCCCTTGCCTCTTTGGACCCTCCCCCCCCCAAGCGAAACCAGGAACCCACCAGACTTCAAAGAGGCGCTGGTTAAAACCACAATTAACTGGTGTATATTCTATAGCGCGAGGGACTGAGGAAGGTGGCTCAACAGAGCTCTCCTCTCTCCGAAAGAACTGCCTCGATTTTTTAAAATTCAAAAAGCATTCGATGGCATTGTTAGAATGTAGAGCGAACCCTTTTTTACCTCTATGTCACCGATGACGTCACAGGTCAGTTTAAAGTAAACATTTTCATAATTTATGGGTGTTTACTCTTTGTGCTCTGGCCGCTGAGAAGTTAAGTCACATGAAGTTCATATTTAGTTTGGACACTCATGAACGTATGCTATGTAAAAACACCATATGGGTGCCGAACAAGTATTTGATATGATTCAGAAAGGGCTCTATCTATAGACCCCCGTCTCTGTCCCCCACCACCCCTGCCTGGCGGTTGGCCGTAACACCATGCTTCATGCGCTCGTTCTTCATGTATAACACCTGAACAGAGAATCATGTGTTCCAGATGGAAATCGCAGCTGTTCGTGAAGAAATTAACTTTTTGCGCGAAGAAATGAAGGCTCTGCGCGAAGAAATGACCAATCAACGTGAAGAGACGAAGGGATGTAAAAGCGAGGTGACTAATTTGAAGACAGAGATGAAAAGACAAGAGGAGGAGAACACCGCACTACATAGTGAGGTGGTTCGCCTGCAGCAGGCAATGGTCGAGGAGCGCTCCACTCGCCAGGTCGTCGTGGAGGAGCTGCGGCAGGAGGTCCGCCGGCTTACAGCGCCATTCGGCCGTCTGCAGGGGTGAGACTGGGAGGCAGCAGGGGTAAGACTGGGAGTAGCAGGGGGGGGGGGGGGAACTGGCTGCGTGCACTGGTACGCGAATAGTCGTGGAGTGTTACTACTTTCCAGAATGAATTGCGAAGTGTAATGCCCTAAATTGACTCCTGGGAGGGTGGATAAAAATGGTTGCGGATAGGGGTACCCGCGAAACGCCGATTTACTCGCCGGCCTTGGGTTGAATTGTTTTCAGTGTGAGTAAACTGTCCCAGCACCCTCACAGGGAACAACGATAAGCTGTCAGAGGCAGGCCCATGTCACTCTACTTTTGATGACATCATATGGGGCCTCAAGACAATAATGGCGCGGCGCGCCACAATCGCTTCAAAGCAGGGTTGTGCTTGACTCATGAGTCGAGTCAGAAATTTGACTCAACTCTGACTCAAATGAGTCAGATTTGAGTCGACTCGGATAAAATGTTGAGCTGTTGAGTTGAGTCAGAGTTGAGTCGGACAAAAATATTAAGGTGTTGAGTTGAGTCAGAGTTGAGTCAGTAAAATAACTTTTGACATTGAGCTGAGTCAAGCATTTAGGAACATGAGTCAGCTGACTCAACTCTCTAGAAACAATTTATAATATAAGCTTTTCACCCCCCCCCCCGCTTAATAACTTAGCCCTTGCCCTGCTGCCTGATTTTTTTCACCCCCCCCCCCCCCGCTCAGCAACTTTTTTATCTGAGTCAATTTTGAGTCAACTCACTTGACTCAACAAAAAATTTGAGTCAAGTTTGACTCGACTCACATTTTCATTGAGCCGCTTGAGTCATGAGTCGAGTCAAGGGAAAAAATCAGCTCCTTGTTTGAGTCAGAGTTGAGTCAGGGCTTTCTGAAGTTGAATGATGAGTCGAGTCGGCAAATTTTTTTGAGTCGAGCACAACCCTGCTTCAAAGCTACTTGCCAACAGTTGCCATTTTTGAAAATATTATTTTGAAATAAAGTTCCAAGTAATAAAAATATTGTAACTAAGTTGTTGCATAAATCGATACCATATCTAAAAACTTACTGAAAAATGATTTATTCATAGTAAAAATATAAGCTCGATGCATTTTTACGTTGCTTTCCTGCAACTGCAGAGAGTTTTTAAATCGTCTATATCTTCAAAACCGGCCATTTCTTAGCATATTGCTGCTCTTTTTTATCGCTAGAAAATTAGCTGGACTTTCCAATGACATCAATGGTTGAGCGATATATGTAATTGTAGAGTGTCACCAACAATCTTCAAATGAAGCTAGTCATTTTTACGTTGTAAAGGAATGGAGTACCCCTTTCGAGCATCAGGGGTGACGTCACTCAGGATCTGTCTCTGATTGGTCGGCGGGGGAGTGACTGTACCTTCTATAGATGGCCTTGGTCAGAGGGCTGCAGGGCACGCACAGAAAACCTCAGCTGCCCTTGTACAGGGACCGGCAATCGATATCAATGTTATCGGTTGTTTCTGGACAGGACAGACGGCTACACGGAGAAAAATAATTACTCCCCCCGGGAATCACGATCCCCTATTTGGGAATCAACTGACACCCATGGTGTAATCCGATTCTGAAAAACAGTGTCCATACACCGTTTTTTAGTGTAAATTGATCTCGGTCAGAATCACATACCCAAGGGTCATTTGACTTCCAAAATTTTGACTCCCATTTTAGGTGTCGTGTCAAAAGATTCTGCACGGTGTCAGTGTAAAATAACACATCTAAGCGTTTTTGACGCTATCATGAGGAGTTTTTATATCCTATAGGTGTCATTTCACACAGTTGAGCGTTTTCGCGATCCGTGACTCCCTTATTAGGTGTAATTTGATCCTCAGTGGTGTCAAAATATTCCGTTCAAATGACTTATTGAGTGTAATTTGACCCTCGGTAGTGTCATAATATTCCGTTTTCATTAGAGCCCCGTAGGGTTCAAATGACACCGGAATATTATGGCACCAATGAGGGTCAAATTACACCTAATAAGCGAGTCACGGATTACGAAAACGCTCAACTGAGTGAAATGACACCCATAGGGTTCAAAAACTCCACATGATAGTATCAAAAAACACTAAATTATTACATAAATTGATTTGACGTCACTGGTGGTATACCACCATTTCTTGACTCTGCAGTGTTGGTTCGGAACTAACACTGCAGAGTCAAGAGATTTTCGGTGAATCAGACTCCGAATCCAGCTCCGGCTTCCAATATCGACTCCGACTCCGACTACGGCCAGAACTGTCGTTTCCAACCGACTCCGACTACGGCCAGAACTGTCGACTCCAACGGACTCCGACTCTGACTCCGTAACCCTGGTGTAGGTTCAGTGATTTGAATCAATGCCCCGAGTGACGTCATGTGTTAGCTAGCCATGGCTGGTCCGCTACGAAGATGAAATAGGCAATAGCCCAATCAGCAGGCTGCACTGTCAATTTGCGGACGAAGATGTGCGGAAAAATGCGAGACGAAGAAATGCGGAGACGAAGAAATGTGCGGACGAAGAAATGCGAGACGAAAAAATACGGAGACGAAGAAATGCGAGGCGAAGAAATGCGAGACGAAGAAATGCGAGACGAAGAAATGCGAAACGAAGAAATGCGAGACGAAGAAATGCGAGACAAAGAAATGCGCGGATGAAGAAATGCGGAGACGAAGAAATGCTCGGACGAAGAAATGCGAGACGAAGAAATGCGAGACGAAGAAAGGCGGAGACGAAGAAATGCGCGGACGAAGAAATGAGCGGACGAAGTTTTGCGGACGAAGAATTGCGCGACGAAGAAATGCCATGCAAAGATTTGTCCGGATACGCTGCGGTATCAATTGATTTTCGGTGACCCAGACTCCGACTCCAGCTCCGGCTTCCAAAGTCGCCGTCGACTCCGACTCTGACTCCGGCCACAACTGTCAACTCCACCCGACTCCGACTCTGACTCTGTAACCCTGTTGCGAACCACAGCTCAGGTCCAGTGGTTTGAGTCAATGCCCGGCCAATCAGCAAGCTGCATTGTCGTGTGACGTCATTTGTGTTCTAGCCATGCCGGTCCGCCACGAAGATGAAATAGCTCGACCTTGCAGGAAAACCGTTAGGAAAGCCGTTGACTTCAGTTGCCGGAAGTGTGCCCACGTGGGTGCGTGTGGTGAGAGCGGGGAGAGTAACTTATTTGAATTAACGCGCTTTTAATGTCGCCGCCAAACGTTGTTTAAAGTGTAGATTTATTTCAAGTAATAGTGCTTTAACGATAAACTTCAGATATTATTTGTAGTTTGCTCAACATGCGTATTTAAACAACGAGGCGCCCTGCACTCAGCGAAATTTTGAAGTAGGACAAGACAGCAACGCACCATGGAGACGGAGGTAAGTTTTTATGTCATTAAGCTGCAGAATAACTCTACCTAAGTAGTAGCAATAATCACCGGTTGATGGAACATTGTTGAAATGTGAGTAATTCCTTACGGTGAATGGAGTCACGGACCCATGAGCCTTACGATAAATTTTCATTAGATTTCGCCATACATTTCGTGCCCAAATGTTTTGGAATTTATTGTTGCATATAAAATAAAGAATGACATGCATGTATTGTTAATTTGCGTCACGTGGTTAACAACTGCAATTATGACTCTGTTGGAGAGTGTATTTTGATCCCATAAGGTGTATGATTCCGAGAATCATTTAAAAATATCTGGTATAAAGACTGATTGAAAAGAAGACGTCATCGTCAATAGATTAAATTGTAGCTGCAAGGGTGAAGACACATGTAAGCTACATTTAAAGTCTCGTTGCAGTCTGGCTAATCGTTCCTATAAGCTTCAGAAGCAGAACATACCCATGGGTATGTTGGTTAGTTGTACCATACTATTGGTCTCAAGATAAGGGCCCAGGCGACCTGTTTTTCTGATGCGATGAATATACCCTTTATACCCTCGCCGCAGCTCGGTTCGAGTGCATCCCTCACCCCTGCACACAACCCAATCCCCGCACTCGAATATTACCGGTATTTCTTATATAGGAGACCAATAGTACCGGTAATATTAATATTAGCTGATGTATGACGCTAACAGGAACAGGCTCTGAGCCGGTATAGAAAAACCATCCCAAGAGTCATTTGACACCGTTGAGGTGACACCTACGAGGGGTGTTTTTTGAAGCGTACCAAAAACGCGCAGTTTCCAGGAGTCCGATTACACCCGGAATCAGACACCCCCGAGGTAATCTGACTCTGGTTGGGAGTGTATTTTATACCACATGTCGTCAAATGATTCCCGGAATCATACATCGTGTGGGATCAAAATACACCCTCAAAATCCGATTACTCCCTGAAGTGACACCTAAAAGGGGTGTTTTTTGAAGCGTACCAAAAACGCGCAGTTTCCAGGAGTCAGATTACACCCGGGATCAGTCACTTCCCAGAGTATTATGACTCTGATTTGGGGTGTATTTTTATTCCATAAGGCGTATGATTCCGGGAATCATTTGACGCCGTACGGTATAAAAATACACCCTCAACCAGTGTCATAATACCCTAGAAAGTGTCTGATTCCGGGTGTAATCGGACTCAAGAAAACTGCGCGTTTTTGGTACGCTTCAAAAAACACCCCTTTTAGGTGTCATTATCTTTTTTCAGTGTAGAGTTGGGGTTCGTGTACAGTAGCAACTGTGGGTCCCCGTACTTACTACACTCGGGGGCCGGGGGCAGGTTGATGTTCCACTCTTTATTCACCAGTTTCATATGGCTCAGCATTGGCAGCAGCTGCCTGGTACCGGTAGACTGTGCCGCTTCACTTACTTGTCAAGCGGCACGGCCTTCCCACACCTTATAACACCGGTCTGGGTCGGTGGCTGGAGGGCGGTATGCGGAGCCTCGAAGTGCTGGTCACTACTTCTGTGGCTTTGTCCCGGTTACGCACGGGACGGGCTGTCGTGTAACACTATCCGTACTTGGCCGCCAGTCTGGTGCCACGAGAGCAGGAGATCGTCGAGACGCAGGTGCCAGTCGAAACGCAGGTGCCAGTGGATGGGGCTCAGGTGCGCGAACTGGAGGACCGACTGAACCAGGCGCTGGTCGACCAGAAGAGGGCGGAGGATGACCTGAAGGTAACTTACCTCTGCTGTCCACTTCGGGTTAGCATCGTTGAGGTGCAGTTTAAACGAAATTTTACCATAATAATGGCCAACCAGCAATTCTTTCGATGTTGGGGAAAATTCAGAAAATTTCATGAATTTTGGCACTTTGGAAGAGGTAAATCCCACAAATGTCCCACGTTTCTTAGATTTGCCAGTCCATGTGCTACGTGCGTCAGACATGAAGTCTGGGTCCCCTCAACCTTCGTTCGCGGCACATTTGACCCTCACGTTCTGTCCCATCTTCACTTTACAAATCTATTTAAGGAATCGCGCGCCACCAATTCCGCCACGGAGACCAAGCTACGCGAGACTGAAGCGCGCAATGAGGACCTCAACAGCAAAACCAACGACCTGGAGCAGACCAACGCCTCACTGAAGAAGCGCTTGCACGAAATGGAACGCACAGTAAGTATTCGACCGCTTAGCCACCCCATCCCCTGCCAGCAGGGCCTCCAGGTTGTATACCGTATAGGAATAGTGCAATACATAGCCTGACTGTTATTACGAGCGAGCGAAGCAAGCGAAGTCTTACGAAGAGTAGCAGACATTTCCGAGCATGATCGGCCCGCCGGACGTGGGCACGCTTTTGCGAAGCTTATGTATCCGCAACACCAATGAACCGATTTACTTGCGGTAATTTGTTAGGGTAGCTCCTTGCCTGCTCCCCAAGGCCATCTATAGAAGGAACAGTCACTCCTCCGCCGACCAATCAGAGACAGATCCTGAGTGACGTCACCCCTGATGCTCGCAAGGGGTACTCCATTCCTTTGCAACGTAAAAATGACTAACTTCATTTGAAGATTATTGATGGAACTCTGCACATACCCCTCAGCCGTTGATGCCAATGGAAAGCCCAACTAATATTCCAGCGACATAAAGAGCAGCAACATGTTAAGAAATGGCCGGTTTTGAAGATACATATATACGATTTAACCCTCGAGTTGCTGGGGGGGGGGGGGCGTTAAACGACCCCACTTTTTTCGCCGGGCCATAGCATAAAAACGGCGCGCCGCAAGCGCGCCAAATTTTGGGTACCTGTAGGGAATTAATTGAAGATTATTGTGACAAAGTTTCAAAAAAATCGGTGAGAAAATTTTTGATATCGAGGTTTTAGTGACGTCATGATTTCTGAGTTTTCGACCAAAAACGGCATATGTTCAAAAAATGATATAAAACCACAGAATAGACATACAGACATGCCGTAAACGCCATTAGACTGCCAATACCATGATCAATCATATGGCTATCTTCAATTATTGATTATCGTTCCGCATTTTCCATAATCTTGAACTGAATCTTGGCAATTTTTCGTGACTACTTCACGACCATGATACATGCATTTCTGAGCCAAACACGTACACATATGATAAAATGAATGTCACCATCGTGTTCTACGCCCCAAATTACCTATAAATCATGTGTCACAGGCTGCGAATATCAGTTTTGGTTTTCGGAGATATGTGCCTACCCGGTTGACCTGACCTTGACCCTGACCTACGCTTGACTGACCCCTACATGGAGCTGACACTCTTGTAGGCCTTATATGATGGATTGTGCACCGTTTTGACAGAGTTTATGACGAGAGGCGCCCATTGCGAAGTCCTGAAGCCCATGCTACTGAAAGCCCGATTTCAGGTGTTTGACCTGACCTTGACCCGACCTGTGACCTCAAAATTCAACTTTTAAGTACTCATCTGAAGCGTCTCGTCGCGCTCTTTCGCTTGCCGCCTCGTGCGTTTCGCTGCGCCTATTGGCTCTCGAGTTATCGGCTGGGGGCGTTTAACGCCCCCCCCCCCCCCAGCAAACGGTGGGTGGCGAAATACCCAAGCAACTGCCGGGTTAAAAACCCTCTGCAGCAGCAGGAAAGCAACGTAAAAACGCATCCAGCTTATGTCTTTACTATGGATAAATCATTTTTCAGTAAGTTTTTAGATATGGTATAGATTTTTACTGTATGCCTGGTCTATTCAAATACATTAGCCAGAGGGGTGTGGTAATAACTGGTGTAAGCAAATTGACCACGGTCAAAAATGCATTACCAGAATGCACTTAAGCCAACATTTTGGGATGTTCTCGTTCCTAAGTCGGCTAAGAGCTTCGGTCCAGAAAATAAATTTATCGTTGGCATCGTTGGCATACAGTAAAATACATACCAAACTCGGCCGGTGATAAATTTTCAAGACCTCAGTCCTTACTGATTTTTGAACTCGGCCTTCGGCCTCGTTCAAAAATCCAGTAAGGACCTCGGTCTTGAAAATTTATTTACACCGGCCTCGTTCAGTATTATATAAACCCGGCACCGCCTGGGCTATTTCCGTACCCACATCAGCCTGGGGGGGGGGGGTCGGATCCGACCCCCCCCCCTGTTATCTCGAGAACCAATGGTCGTATCGAGCCCCGCGAGGTGGCGTTCGAAAGGTCTCTACGAGACCTTCCCAAAGCACTCTTAAGATTTTAAGATTGAGGTCAACTTTCGGGTCAAGGTCAGGTCAAAGGTCAAATTCAGGGGTTTTGCATGATTAGGCTTACGGACAGCGGAATCAATAGCTGCTGCTCGAAACTCACCACAAATGACCTCAAAGGCCTAGTGAAGGTACCATGTGCGTATAGGGGTCATACTAAGTACGGTTCAAGGTCAGGTCAGGTCACGAAAGGTCACGGTTTTCACTTTCTGCTACATGGGCGTGCGACACATGTTTTATGGCTTATTTTTTACGCCAAATCCGATGGTAATGGTTATATGTGACCCCAAGTCACTGTGCTGGTGATAAGTGTGCATTGAAAGCATAAAAAATCGTTTATACTAAACGAGGGCTGAGAAAAAAAGGTCAATTTTTCAACTTTTTATTTTTGACATAAAAATGCACTTTTCTAGACGAGCTTTGTCCCAGGAATCTAGTGGTACCATTTGTTTTCACATGCGATGTTCAGAAGTGCCTCTAATTCGCGAAAATGCTTATGACGTCACCATGCCCTATGCATGTTGGAGCTATTTTTTACAATTTGGGGGTCAAAAATCAAGATAGAAAGTTGAAATTTGGGACATCTAATGTTCTAATAGAGCTCTATAACATATATTCCGGTTTTTTGGAAATTCTCAAAATTTTGAATTTTATTAGCTGTTTTCCCAAAAATATAGTTTTTTGAATTTTTAGGAGTGAAAAACGCATTTTATGGAAAATCCGAGATAGCCATTTTAAAGAACTCGTTGAGCTGCGTCTTTTCATGTACTTAATTTGCAATTTGCTTAACCCTCGCATGTGTGCGGCGTTTTCCAGCTTCTAATGTGTAGGGGGGGGGTCGGTTGGACCCCCCCCTTGCCGTTTGGCCCCTGATCGAGCTAGAGCTTCGCGGAAAAAACGAGCGTGTTGCCCGTGACGAGAGGAAGCCGATGATACCCAATTTTAAGGTCCTAGGTCATTGGGTGACCTTCCAGGTCAGGTCAATGACCCAAAGTCGGGAAAATCGGGACCTGTTAGAAAGTCGTAAAGTGTGGCTGCTAAGGGGTTTTTCGGGGTGCTGATCACGAATATCGTGTTAGTTTTGATCACAGATGATGTCTTGAAGCATTTAGACCAGGTCGGGTCAGGTCAGGTCAGGTCAACCAGTAGGCGTCGTGACGGGTATTCGTAGTACGTGTCAACCGCCTCTGACAGCTTCGTAACATGTTACGAAGTCACCAAAACTACTTCGTAAATGTTCAAATGGTTGCTAAATTCGAATTCAGCTCCAAAAACTAGCCTAGAAACATGTAAAACTCGAAAAAGTGACCCGAGGTCACCCGAGGTCACCAAAGGTCAATGACCTGACCTGACCTTCAGGTGACCTTGACACACACGGGAGTAACATCAAATCACATGTTTGAACGTTTGAAACCACGAAAAGCTTGCAAACACGCGGCTAGTGCGAGCCGACATACGCGAAATCGCGATTACGGCCAAACATGGTCTCGGAAAAGAGGTCACAGGTCAAAGGTCATTTGGGTCAGGGTCATGAAATTTTCAGGGTAGGTGTAAAATTGATCAATGCGAGGGTACTGAAAGTTTCGTCGCGATCGGCCGCTTTTTACGCGAGTTATTCGCGAAAAACCATGGGGGGGGTCCATCCGACCCCCCCCCCCTACACATGCGAGGGTTAAAACCTCGATTTTTAGCGATTTTTTAAACATTTACCATTTTTTGACTGAAAACGCCATGTAGTTACATCACTAAAATCGATATATCTCAGAAATTTTTGAAAATTTTTTCTTAACAATTGCACAGGAGACGTCAAATTGATGTGGGAGAAGGTATGCGAAGTTTCAAGTTGATAGCGCAAGCGGTTCATGAGTTATTCAAGAAAAACGGAGGGGGGGGGGTCGGATCCGACCCCCCCCCCCAGGCGGTCGCGGGTTAAGCTACAACTTTATTACAATATTTTCATTACTTGAAACTTTATTTCAATATAATATTTTCAAAAATGGCAGCTGTTGGTAGGTAAGTAGCTTGGGAGCGACTGTGGCGCACCGCGCCATTAACCCGCGCCCTGCTGGGGGGTGTTTGAACACCATCCTTGTGGTTTTTCGGGAATATCTCAAAAACGGCGGCGCGGAGCGCCGCCGTTTTTGGTACACCTTATCATACATCAATTCTACACATGTTGTGAAAATTTCAGACCAAGGTCATTCAAGGTCAGGTCACCAGGTCACTTGAAGTGACCTCACCTTTTAAAAAGTTTCAATGTCTGTCATAGCTACACCGAGTGACCGATCGCCTTAAATCTTTCAGCGATTGCTAAAATCAATAGCATGTACAAAATGTATATCTCAAAATTTTGATATCGATGACCTAAGGTCAGGTCAATTTTGCGACCTCCCCATTGTAAGTCAATGGGAGAAAATTGAAATGCGCCTCTTTTGGACGAAAGACATTATAAACACTCCTAAACACCGAAGTACAAGTGTTTTAGACACACTGAACATGAAAATGGTGTCCGTGACCCTTGTTTATGCCCTGAGGTCATCTTAGGTCACGAATGGTATCTAACAGTTTTTCGCAGATAACTTTTGATAGAGGCATGCTAGAGCGATGAAAACGCCTTATATGTGCTCAGCTCGACGATACGGATCGACTGATATGCAACATGACCCTTTTCGGTCAGGTCATGACCTTGACCTGAGGTCAAATTTTCAAGTTGACCTTTCAAGGTCAAGTTATAGTTCATTCGATGCGTCTTGACGAGAGGAACACGATGCCGATGAAGGTAAGCTCGTACAAGGCTTGGGTCAAAAGTTATTGCAGAAAAACTGTTTCCGAAAAAAATCGGCTATTTTTGCAGTTTTTGCCCCCTGCAGGCAAAACCGTTGACGTTAGGTCAAATCTGAGAGAACTACTCAGAAAGGGCGTTAATAGGGCTATCGAATGCGCTTTTCTGCGGCGCTATAGCTCTATTGGTTCCCGAGTTATGCGTTGGCTTCTTGGAAATTTTCGACATTCGACCTGGAAATCGGCGAAATTTTGCCTTCAATGACCTCTGGTGACCTGACCTTTGACCTGACCAAAAAATTGACCGAAGTGATTTCGTCATTATTTTTTACGTTCTTTCGAACGCCGCCTTCCGCGTATCGCTACGTGGCCCAGGAACCGAGTTACAAGGGGGGGGGGGGTGTTCAACCCCCCCCCCCCAGCAGGGCGTGGAAATCCAGGACCCCCAGCCGGGCGCGGGTTAATTGTCCCTAGGCCCCCTTATGATGTCATCAAAAGTGGAGTGACAATTGACACGGGCCTGCGCTGCTCCCAACCATTAGACTATTGCCGATGCATGTGGGTGACCCATCATGCACGTACCACCGCCACGTGCAAAAACGAAGAGATGCCAGATTTTGTAATACTTTCTCGGTAACTACATACTTGGCTGATTGCGGCAAAACTTGCAGTTGGCCGTTGGGTAGGCACCCAATAGGCACCCACCAGACAATGCATTTCCAATTGTATGGTTGGGTTTGTAAGCTACCTCTGCACGTGCGCACGTGCTCTGCAGAGGTAGCTTCAAGATACAGAAAACGGTTGAACCGATTTCGCTCAACTTTGATACAAGGCTAGGGGCAGATAGAACAGTGCCGTGCAAAAGTCAGTTGGGATCCAGTTTGCACGTGCGAACGTGCAGGCTGCCGCTTCCAGATCTCGAGAACGGCTGGGCCGATTTCGGCAAAATTTGGCACACTGCCTTAGCCCGCAAGTTGTTGGGGGGGGGGCTTTAAACACCCCCATTTTTTTTTCGCCGCTCTTTAGCATAAAAACGGTGTCAAACTTTGGTTACCTGTAGGGAATTGATTGAAGCTTATCCCTCGCCGGCACGCGCCATTTTACGTCTTTCGACGGCACAAGGGCGTTGGTGCGTGCGATCCCCTTCGCGTTTGGCCCCTGATCGAACTAGAGCTTCGCAGAAAAACGAGCGTGTTGCCCGTGACAAGAGAGAGAGCCGATGCTACCTAATTTTAGGGTCCTAGTTAGTTCATCAGTTGACCTTCCAGGTCAGGTCAATGACTCAATCGTCGGGAAAATCGGGACCTGTTAGAACGTCGTAAAGCGTAGCTGCTAATGTAAGTCATTATCATAGATGATGTCTTCATGCATTTAGGCCAGGTCGGGTCAGTTCAGGTCAGGTCAACCAGCCAGGTATTCGTGGTAGGTGGCAACCGCCTCTGACAGCTTCGTAACATGTTACGAAAGCACCAAAACTACTTAGTGAATGTTTAAATGCTTGCTTGATTCGAATTCAGCTAAAAAACTAGCATAGAAACATGTAAACTCGACAAAGTGAACCGAGGTCATCAAAGGTCAATGACCTGACCTGACCTTCCAGTGACCATGACCCGCACCCTAGTGCATGGGAGCAACAGCATATCCCATGTTCGAAAGCTTAACCCGCGCATGACTGGGGTATTTTCCATAACGCGAGTGACTGGGGGGGGGGGTGCTCTCCAGGGGTTCCCCCTCTTATCGCCGAAACTACCAAGCCGATCGTCAAAATTCAAACGGCGTCTGATAGCGCTGGAAAAAATGTCGAGTTAAACCTATTTTAATTGACCTCGAGATCACTGCTATGACGTCACAGGTCAGGTCAAAGTTAAAATTATCGGCATTTTTTGCTTGTTTAGAATTTAGGCTCTTGCCGCCGGCTGACAAATTCGATCAGGCTCATTTTTGGTTTACGCACTCCTTGATATATGCCTTAGATACCCTGATGGTACCGAACTTTTGCTTCGAATTTTTGCAGGTCAAGGCCAGATCATCCTCGGCCACGAAAATTGTATATCATGTATCGGTCACGTGACGCATGTTTTATGGTCAATTTTACACGTAGATTTCGAAAATAATGTCGTCTGTGTCATTTAAGGTCATTTTAAGCTGAATTTACCGGAGGTCAGGTCAATTTCAGGTCAGAAAAGTCAAATTTTGAAAATGATTTTTTTTTTCAACAAAAAAGGTGCCTATAAGATGCATTTTGAGCTCAGCAATACAATGGTGCCATTTATATATATTTTTGTACGATGTAAAAAGCGTACTGAAAAATGGTTTTGAAAAGTATATAACTGTGAAATTTTGACAAAAATGCAAATAACTTGGCTATTTTTGAAGATATTGGGCTAAAGCTTGCTTGAGTAGTTCATCAGTGTGTTTTATATCACATATATTCCGGTTTTTGCAAAAAAAAATCAAAAAAAAATCAGTAAGTATTTTTTGTAATTGTAAAAACATATTTTTCAAAATTTTAAACTTTTGAAAAATTTTGATAGCAGTTTGATAGCTACGTTTATTTGTAGTCCACTGATGTAAAGAAATTGGATCTAGCTTTAAAACTACGCTCTTGAGAGCGTTTGCCATAATTCAATATTTTGCATTAAAATCGGCCGACATGACGTCACTCTGACGTCATTCCTGGCCAAACTATGGTAGATAGAAAGTTGAAATTTTACCACAAGGTGTCAAAGTAATGCCGCTGAAGGTACTGCAAGTTTCGTGTTAATCCGTGGAACGGCTTAGAAGATATTGCCGAAAAACGGGAGGGGCTCTGTAGAGCCCCCCCCCCCCCAGTCATGCGCGGGTTAAAACGACGAAAAGACTGCAAACGCACGGCTAATGCGAGCCGACATACGCCGAATCGCGATTCCAGCCAAACAAGGTCTTGAAAAATACTTCACTGGTCAAAGGTCATTTGGGTCAGGGTCAAAATTTTTTAGGGTGGGTGTAAAATTGATTATCGCGATGGTACCCAAAGTTTCGTGGCGATTGACAGTTTTTTTTACACGAATTATTCGCGAAAAAGCGAGGGGGAGTCCATTCGAACCCCCCCCCCCCCACACACACACACTATACAGGTGAAGGTTAGCCTATCTGTCGGGCATTGACCTTAGCTGATCCTGACAGTTATATATAAACGTACATATGATCTCGGAATTTTGAGCTTACCTCATCTTTGGCCTCTGCTCCCACACCTTACCATATGCTCTGACTTGAGATGTGACTAATGACCTGACCTTTCCCGGCAGCTGGATCACGAGCGGTCGTCGAGCAAAGACAAAGATGATGTGATAAAGCGTCAACAGGAGGAGATACAGCAGCAAAAGGAGAGGCAACAGGCTCTGATGAAAACCAAAGTGGCACTAGATGCGGAGGTATCTGCCTTTAACAAGCTGCTCGAGTCTAAGAATAACAGGTTAGTGCAGCCGCCGACGATGGGGTGAGCATTGCCATGTGTAGGTTGAGATTCACTCTACCCATTTGTGTGTGGCCTTCCAGGGCTCCCTTTCTTTCTGCTGTCTTTATCTGTGCGTCTGTCTTGCAGTGGTCTTCAGCATCTTCTTTGCCTGTGTACATTTTTCAGTTTCTGTCTCTGTCTCGTTAGGCGGCACGGGCGGACATCGATAGCAGCGCCTCTATCGGTCACTAGGGAAAGCTGGGCTGTAGGCGACGAAATACCGGCTGAGTTGTCACACGTTGAATAGGTTTATAGCCATCAGTCTTGTGAAAAGGTTGAACTTTTGCCTTTAATATTTCTTCAGGCAATTTTAGAAGTGTCTTCACATGAATTACAAAACCGTTTAGATTATTGTATTCACTTCAAGCCTTCCCTATTGTTCTTGATGATGCGGGAACTATTTCTAATTAGTGTTTCTAGCTTAGTAAAAGAACATACTGTGCAAACGATGAAAAAAAGCATGAATGGAAGATTTTAAATGCAATTTTCTCTAACAATTAATGATAATTTCTCTACATATCAAGGAAAATGTGCATGCTAAATGATAATTTAAAGTTCTTGGGGCCAGTTGTTTTCTTCTTTTCTTACGTCGCCCCAATGGCCGCGAATACACTTGTGATAACGCCTATTGTCTGTCTGTCTGTCTATCGGTCTGTCCGTCTGTCTCTCCCCCTCTCTCTCTCTCTCTCCTCTATCTCCCCCCTCTCTCTCCTCTCTCTCTCTCTCTCTCTCTCTCTCTCTCTCTCTCTCTCTCTCTCTCTCTCTCTCTCTCTCTCTCTCTCTCTGTCCATCCCTCCCTCCCCTTCCCTTCGGCACCAACCCTCCCTCCCCTCTGCAGGGTAGCGCTTGCTTAGTTAATGCTTAGAGCGCTATGGCTATGCTTATTTAACGATTGATAGTTAGCAACAGATGACCGCTTCATTTAATCCTGACATCAATGGCTATGTTTTTAGCATAAAGAAGCTATGTTTCCCGCCGGGCCTGAGCGAGAAATCGCTGACAAACATCCTGCAGAATTCCGAGGGTATGGAGGAACTGCTCATGACTTCACCCTCCGACTCGACGGGGCAGTGGATTCGGCTACTGTCACCGTCCTTGAATAAGCTAGACGTTTTCGGTGAGATCCTGTGAATGAACCTAATAAGTTCACTTCTGACAGTGGGGAGAAGGAAAGCAGACAGTGCAGCTGCAGGTATATGTAGTATTTACAATTGCTCAAATGATTGTATCCATTCTATGCACTTTCAAAGCAATACCCCAAAAGCATAGTAACAACTGACTACATTCCAGTAGAGCACAACCTTTCTCATGTATAATTTAGGCATCGTCACCAGCAGAATTGTACAGTCAATTGTATTCGTTTCTTTTGCTTCCTGGGTGTGTCAGAATTTACTTCTAATTGTAGCGCGTAGTGCGCTTACGTCATGTGCCTACCTCGCCCGGTCGCCACTAGAGGCGCTTGTGTTGAAATACACTCAGTTGACCGCTACATAATGAAGTTCCTCAGATCGTCGTATTGAAGTTACTACTGTTATCATAGTGATATACTTTCAACGTAACTAAGCAATATTTATGTTTGCTTATGGTATGTTATAATTGCATAGGTGTGTTATAATTGCACTAGGCAGTACAATAACCATGCATGAGACACCGTCACTGTCCAACTGCTCATCGGTGACAAGTCGGCTGTGTCAACCGTCAGTGTCGTCTATATCCGCGTTTGACACCATTGTGTCAGCCGCCTCCCGACCCGGCGGCAGCTCCGTCCGACCGCAGTCAGCTGACACAGCTCTCTCTCCGACAGGACCGGGGGTGACGGGGGAGCCGGCGAAACTGGGGGTGGGAAGACAACCCGACCATGGGCTGACGGTCGTCATAAAGCAGGCGGGAGATGACGTCATCAACCAGCTGGCCAAGGAGCTGGGACCACGGGTTACCGGGCTGAATATGTTCAGTGAGTGGTGGTGGCACGGACAGGTTATCGGTATGAGTGGTTAGGTATAGTGATGACACCGAGTAGTTGTGCATGGTAACACCGTCCCAGCACAGGTGAACCGGAGACATGTACATGGGACAGGTCATGGGGGTACGTCATAGTGGTGTGATGACAGTGGTGTATATGACAATATCAGGAGTGGTTATTTGAATATGCCGTTTCACTTACAGTCTTTCTCTTACACTCAAAACTCAAATGATTCCTTTTTTGGTGTAAATGGGGTGTGGTCTAAAACGATGCCCACTTTACGCCCTACCTAGACCAGAAGAACACCATCTTAACCCTATCGAAACACCAAACATACACCCTGTACACCTGTCGAACACCGTTCATACACCCCTCTTGCACCCTTCTAACACCACCAGTAAACCTATATGACACCCGTATCATACCCACTTGCACCGGGTTTACACCCCCTGAACCAGCTTTATGCCACCTTTGCACCTTATGTGCACTCTTTTTACTCTTGTGCTACACCACTTTGCACCCATTTTACTCCTGTTCTACACTCCCTTTGCACCCATTTTCACTCCTGTTGTACACCCCCTTTGCACCCATCTTACTCCTGTTCTACACCCCCTTTGCACCCATTTTACTCCTGTTCTACACCCTCTTTGCACCCATTCTACTCCTGTTCTACACCCTCTTTGCACCCATTTTACTCCTGTTCTACACTCCCCTAGCACCCACGGTACACCCGGCTAGCACCATCCATGCACCGCTCCCCAACACCACCGCTCCCCACCTTTTTCATTCGCAGACCCGTCACCAAAGTCAGCCAGCTGGTGCAACATTTATTACAACGAAACTTAAAACGAAACGCATAACGAAACTTAGCGCATACGAAACTTAGCGCGGCCGCCCAGCCGCGGTGGCCGACTATGACGAACAGTTTCAGTCTATCTTGAAGGAACTGCTGGTCTTGGATGTCGGCCGGGGGCCGCTCAGTGGCTAGGAGTAGCACTCTGTTTTCTTGGCGGTCCCTTGTTTGATAGTTCTCGTTGATAAGCCTCTGTTGAGAGAGGTAGTTCCGCCACTGCTGGTTCAACTCGGGCGGCGGGAGCACCAGCGGAGGTGGGCCGTCCATGGGGCGCTGAGAAGCCGAACCCGGCCGAGGTGTTGAGTCTGGTTGCGATGGCTGGGCAGCACGGCCCGGCCGGGGCGGCTGTAAAAGAGTCGCCACTCGGCGGGCGAGCTGTTCCAGCTGGTCGTCACCCAGAAGCACCGGCTGGGTGGGCCTCGCGCCCCCCGGCACCGCCTTCGGATCGATCCAGCTCGAGCTGTAGCTGGCGAGCCACCTGGCTCCTGGTGTTCCTCGACGGCGTGTCGGCTGCTGAGAGTCGTTGGCGCGATGTGGAGGGCGTACCTGGGCGGTTGTTGCCCATCCGCTCCTTGGAAGGGCAGAATCTGGCCGCGGGTAGGCACCGTGGTGCGTCCCGCTAGGCCAGAGGGAAATCCTGCGTCGCACTCCGCACTCACAGCCCACTTAATAGAGGTTTTCACTTTTCGCCACCTAGCACTTGGGACGCTCCCCTCGTCGGAGCGTCCTGAGTCGCGGTCACGGCGAAACTGAGCCGTTAACGGCGGCCGAGGGCCCGCGCAGGGGCCTAGGCCGCTTCCCATTGGTCGGCCGCGCTGACGTCATGTCGGCAGCCGTTAGAAAGCGCGCGAAAAACGGCGTTGCAAAATGGCGTTGCTTCCTTGCTCAATGAGTGTAAAAGGGGTGTTTCCAGAAAGTTCTTATCCCGATCTATTCCCTTATTACACCCCGATCTGGGCATCGCCATATGGTGTACAGATGGTGTTTCAACGATGGTGTTCGTATAGTGTAAAAAGGGTGTTTCCAGAAAGTTCTTATCCCGATCTATTCCCTTATTACACCCCGATCTGGGCATCGCCGCCCTAGGTGTACAGATGGTGTTTCAACGATGGTGTTCGTATAGTGTAAAAGGAGTATTTCCAGAAAGTTCTTATCCCGATATATTCCCTTATTACACCCCGATCTGGGCATCGCCATATGGTGTACAGATGGTGTTTCAACGATGGTGTTCGTATAGTGTAAAAAGGGTGTTTCCAGAAAGTTCTTATCCCGATCTATTCCCTTATTACACCCCGATATGGGCATCACCTAGGTGTACAGATGCTGTTTCAACGAGGGTGTTCGCCTGGTGTGTTGATGGTATATTTAGCGGATCGGTGTATGAGCGGTGTTAAAAAGGTTCATGGGTGCAAACAGGGACTAACAACGGTGTATAATGGGCATCAGGTTGGCGTACTTCTGGTGCATATCTGGTGTAAAGTGGGTGTAATCCCAACTTAAGGTGTCAATGGGGTGTAAATCGTGTTTTCAGTGTGGCTGTGTCGATTACATATTGTGCTATATTTCTGAAGTCATCCATGGTGAGCAGCAGTGGCCAAACAGGGTATTGATAGATATGAATGGTTAGATATAATGATGAACATATAGAGTAACGATGCATTGTTACACCGTACTAGTAGAGGAGAACCACAGACTATGTACAGTATTGGCAATGACGTCAGCAATGTGTATATGTTTGTATGTGTGTATGTGTGGTATGTTGAGACGGGTGAATTCTACCGACGACGGGTATGTCGACGCCCGACGGGTATGATGCCACTCATGCTGAGTACATGCGGAGTGGTGTGATGCCATTTAGGGGGACACGTGTACAAGTGATAAACATCACAATAACTCGCCAGGTATGTAAAGCTGGCATTTCACTCACAATGCTATTGACTAGGCCGATGATGTATTGCGCCATATGCGCAACACGCTAACATGCATAATGTCTGTCATTTCCCCGCCATTCACCTACCGTGTCTGTATGTGTCTGTGTTTCCCAGACTGCCCGCGTGTCACTGCTGGGGCCTTGCAGCGACTGCTGTCCGCCCTCACCGGCCTGGAAGACGTCACGCTTGACTGCTCTCTGTCCGGCGCCATCACTGACGCCTCACTGGCCGCCCTCTACGGCTGCTCCCAGCTGCGTGAAATGCAGCTGGGACGGGTCAGTGGACTCTGTACGGATATACCGGTCACAGCGGTCAGCAGGTCAGTTAGCTGTACACCCAGACCAGACCCAGACCAGACCCAGACCAGACTCAGACCAGACCCAGACCAGACCCAGACCAGACCCAGACCAGACCCAGACCAGACCCAGACCAGACCCAGACCAGACCCAGACCAGACCCAGACACAGACACAGATAAGACCAGACCCAGACCAATACAAACAAGCATGCATGGTCTGTAGGTATGTATGTTAGGGCTATGTATTGTGGCTATAACCAAAGCATGTATTGTAGGTATAAATGTCCAAAGCCATACCACTTATTGTATCATAGGCATCGGTATAGAGGTCTATGGGTGTATGTGTTACGTGCACAATGCATATGTCTATAACTATACAGAGGTATATGCACGTGATCTTATATCAACTAGCACGCTACCCCGCACCGCATCGGCCCCAGTCTCAGACCGGACCCGAACGCCGAACCCCAACCGGACCGGACCTGACTTGGACTGGCCCTGTGGAGACCGGGCCCATCCCTTCCAGACGGCCGGTCGGCCGACTGGTGTCGCTGACTGGCCTGTGTCCTGTGCTGTCGCAGGCTGGTGGTTACCTGTCGGAAACTGGAGCTGCTGTTTTTTTACGCAACGGAGGAGCTCAGCCAGAGGGTCCTGGACGCCCTGGTCCGGGCAGACCTGGGGAAAAGTGATGACGGTACGCCGAAAACACTGTGGTTCGTGGTCCCAGGTAAGCGACGGTGCCGTCCAGCGCCTCTGATCAGTCCCACAACAGACGGCTCGGCGCCACCGGCCTCTCGGAGCCGCTGTCGTACACCCTCTCAACGGGTCGAGATGTTACACATAACGCTGATATGACGTCGCATTACCGATAGAAACAGCATGTTGGCATCATTATTATGCATGAATCTGACCTAACTATGTGATACCACTGGCCGTTTAGGATTTGCATATTACAATGTGCATGTCGAATGTATCGTTGTATTTTGTGTTTCTATCCCACTGTGTGCATGTTTACAATAACACCCACAGTGTGAAATGGGACTATTGACTGGTAGTGTGATTGTAGGCAACTGGAGGTTATTGCCTGTGTTGCTGAGCTTTGTATAACCTTTGATTGAGAAAGATAAAACGAGAAATCAGTATTATAGTTTGCTGTACTCATTGAGATAGATTGTCAGCCAGCGTAGCCATTGATGCCTGGCTGTCGGCTGTAATGCGGTGCTTACCGGCCGCATGTGGACATAAACGCTCATGAGCTGTTAAAGTTCCGGTGAGACGTCACATCAGACAATAAAGTCATAGTTATGTGTGACATTGCATCATATTTGCGCTTTGTGACGCCACATTACAGACGCCTGAATGTATACTTTCAGAATCCCCTTGCCTATTACATATACAATTGTATGGTCATCTTCGACCGTTTGTGACTGTTAATGCAAACTGTTGCACTCCAAACCTCTCTACACTTCTTGTCTTGTCCACAGCACCCGTCTATGAGAAGCTGAGAAAGCCGCCGTCCACCAGCAGCATCGAAGTGTATGAAGCTACCTAGAAGTATCATTCGAAAATACCACGCCGACTCAGAATGCGCCTACAGCAGTCATCCTCAGCAGGCGCGGATACAAGGGGGGGGCCATGGGGGCCATGGCCCCCCCCCTTGGCCGATTTTTTTCAAAAATAAAATGAAAAGTTAAAAAGTTAAAAAGCTAAAAAGGGGGCCTCCTGAAAATAAAGTGGCCGAAATCCGATGAGTTTTTTTTTTACCTTCCCACTTAGTTATTTCTTAGAAGACTAGCTGAGAAGACTTCTTTGTTAGAAGATTGGTAAAGCTTTTCATAACTTGGAGGTCTCTTATACTCACAGAGATGACCACTTTTACAGGGCCTCCTAACCTGCACAGAGGGCCCCCAAGCCTGCACAGATGTTGAGATGTTGCCTGAACAGCTAGATAAGCTCAATAGACGCAGTTTTTTTTGGGGGGGGGGGCCCAACAAGTGGGAAGATGGGGCCTCCAACAGGTGGGATTATGGGGGGGGGCTCCTGGTTTCTAATGGCCCCTCCCTTGGAGATTTTCTGGATCCGCCCCTGATCCTCAGTGAGTTATGTTCTCTAGCTGGTGTTATTGCATGTAGTCCCTTCCATAGGCAGGAGGAATCGCACAGGTGGCAGCACCATACACAGCGGTTTCACCACCAGAGGGCAGCAGCCTACCATGAATAAACCTCACATTCTCTAACCATGAGCCGGAAGAACGGCGAGTAAGAGTTAGAAACTTTAGTCGCAGTAAATTTATAATTGACGTTAGATATAAAATGTGTGCCCCCTATACGGTAACGTTGTTGTAACGACCAGCGGTGGTGACTGGTGAGTTCTGATGAGTGTTTACGAGGTCGGGACGTCCAGACTTCAGAGGCCATTGGCACGAGCGGTCACTGTAGTATAGGAGGAACTGTGTAGGACGTCATATGTTCCTACGCATTCTGGAGAGGGTATCATCGAACACACAGCAATTGTAATTGGACCGACAGCCCTTGGTTCAACCGTGCCCAGTACACAAATAGAGACATTATTCTGACCATCCCTTGGTGATGTTTCTCTGTCAATTTTGCGGTTATTTTATCGTACCAGTCCAGTGACGTCATAGTGTGTGATATCTTCATAACGTCATTGTGTCCAATCAGTCGATTGTCGCTGTGACGTCACTGTGGCACTATTCTCCCACTATGTCATATCGCACCTATTGTTCCTGTGTGACGTTATATGCCACATGTTGTCCCCGTATGACGTCATACTCCACCCGGTACCGGCAGGCTTGTTCACCCTTGGATTGGAAGGATCCGAGAATATGACGGACAAATGGGACGACAGTCTGCCGGGCTTCATCACCAACTGGGAGCTGGTGAAGCTGCGCTCCTTCAGCATCAGCGTGCACCGGGTGGACACGGTGGGGTCGAACACCATTATTCCGATCAAAACTACGCTGGCTTATCACATAATACGTGTTCGAAAAATTCCATGGACATCTCGTGAGTGCTTTATATACAGGTAGAAGGACAAGATGTGAATGTAATGGCGTGATACATTACATTACAAGTGAGGCGTGAAATAAGGACCAGGAACTTGTGTGTGTGGCTCCACAGTGCGCCGTGCCATTGAACCCAACACATTGGTTTATCTGTGGACTCTGAAGTGAGCGGATGACGCACTGTGGGGTGTTTACTTTCTTCCGAATGAATTGTGTGAAATATCATTGCTGGAGATTGCACATTGCGTATAATGTTAGGTCCTACGTGCGCGCTGCTTTGTAGAAGCTCATCAGCGAACTTATACTACTGCGTTGGAAACAAGTTTTATGGAGGTTTAGATGTCCACCTATGTACATATTGAACGATAAATTCACAGCTATGTAGCTTTTTATAATATTTTGTACACATGCGGAGATCAAAAAGTTTGTGCATCGGATTGTATGTCTGAATTATTGGTGAAAAATCATTGATGAGCTTTGCTTGTGCCGCGCGGCTGCACTGGTTTGGATACATTCTTTCCCGTTATTCCGTTTGCCTAATGCAACTCTAATCGATGTTATGGGTAGCTTAGTAGCCAGTTACAACTAGCTAATGTCCTTGGAGTATTTGTTTACGTGTTTATATGCCATGTTCGTGTGTGTGATCACCAAACGTGCCTGCTTTATATCTGTACTACCTACAGTAATGCCAGTGACATAACACCGGGAGTACAATGATCCCTTTGTACATACATGTTTGGTGGAAGTCTCGGCACAGAATCCCCTTAGGACACAGAAGGCCTCTCCGAAGACATGTTGTCCATCGGGCCTCCAGAAGGAGTACAGCTCGAAGGGTAGTCCGGTGAGGAGCAGCAGGAGGTCGGAGATGGCCAGGTTGAAGAGGTAGTAGTTGATATAGTTCGTTTTTTTTTTAAGTTCGACCCTCACTGTAAACATCTTTTTGGAAACAGCACGAGAATCGCTAGCTGAATTACTGAGAAAACTGGTTAGCGCACTTTGTATTGGAGATCTGAATTAATATTTTCAAAATAAGTTTCTAACACCAATGGTATACTGTTACGTTAAACGCCGTGCGATTTATTAATTAGTTCACTTGTACTTCCTGACAAGTCCTCGATCCTTGTGGAGCTGCAAATACCGAGCTGCAAGTCTGGGAAAAAGGAGCCAGGTAGAAATAATTTTGATACAATTGATCGTCTGCGAAATCATTGTGCGCCAACGAGTTTTCTCAGTAATTCAGCTACCAATTCTCGTGCCGTGTTCAAATAGACATTTACAGTGAGGGTCGAACTTAGAAAAAAACGAACTATAGTCGTCTGTATGGACCCGTTGTGTAAGATCGTGATTCAGGTGATGGTGTTGCCCAAGACGCTGACGAAGAAGATGACGCCGTGGAGCACCGTCATGCAGATGACGGTGTGAAGAGCGGCACGTTCAGGAGCGAGTAGTGTGATGTTGGATGTGGTGACGTTGTGGAAGGTGCAGGTGACGGAGTCGTTGTCCTCGTATGGGGTGAGGTCGGTGACGTTTTGGGACGAGGACATTGGTGGGTCCTGAGGTCCGGTGTCCGTCTATTGGTAGTGGTGTGTGGCGGAAATCGTGTCTGAATCAGTCTGAATACTCAGATTACAGCGAAGGTCATCATCTGTTTGGGTGAGACGCTGTACGATATCCAGCGTCTCTAAGCCAACATCTTCGGCAAATCACTCTCACCATCGCATGTCAACGTCACGTGGTAAACTCTTTCAAACACCACCTCTGAGGATATTCACAACTCTTCCAGCTATTCTCAGGGTACTTGAATCTCACTCCATCTTATAGATCCAAATGGAGAATCTTCAACACTGGAGGAGAGCAGGAACGTGCTTTTCAACCAGCTGAGCTTTGCGCTTCCAACCAGGGTATATAGAACAACGGGTACACCAACGACGCGGAAAGCGCCCATTTTACCTGGATGAGTTACATGGTAGGTGATATCCGCTCGAGGGCTCACCGTCCGGCTAAAGTCAACAATGCCGGACGGTGGGACGGTCGCCGGGGCACGTCCCCGGCGGCCGGCCAGGCGGGGGTGCCGAGGCGGGTGGCGGGTTCGCCGCGCCAAGGCACGAGGGAGCGGCGACCAGCTGACCGCTCCCAGGGTATATAGAACAACGGGTACACCAACGACGCGGAAAGCGCCCATTTTACCTGGATAAGGTACATGGAAGGTGATAAATTTTTTGAATATGGAAAAAATAGAGTATTCTATTTTGACGAGTAAAACCAAATTCATAAAGCAGTTATTTTTAAAATATATGTACCAGAAATAACATACTGACCATAGTTTAAAACTTAGTCTAAAGTTAGTTGAAAAGCGTATAGTTGATACTAAGATGGAAGGAATCAATGGAAGGCGGAAATGGCGCAGCTGTTTCATTCTTAAAATGTGTTCGCAAGCAGGATTTACGTGATGCTAGCGACATCTATTAATGTACTCGGGGACGCTGATTGGCTGACCGAGTCCGTGAGCAGTATCACTAATGTTCGCCAGTACAGTGTTGAGGCAATGTGCGCATGCGCAGGAACTTGTGCTCTCATGGAGGGGCTTTTGGTACCTCGGGCAGCGCCCAATGCTTTTTGGACCTGTTATGGCCTCCGCATCGAAAAACGCTAGATAAAAAGGTTGTAGAGGAGGCTTGAGGCTACCTTTCCCCACAATAATATTGGCACTTTATCTTTTAGCTTACGTGTGAAGCTCGCTTGAAAAAGGTCGATTTAACATGGAAACCCTATGGGGTAGTAGTTTTTGAGCGCCCATTTGGCCTAATGCTACCAACTGTTACTGGCTACCCCTGGACCGCTCCCAGTGTCGGGGTCCCAGCCGGACCTCTCCGTGTAGGGCGCCACCCAGCCCCACCCCGAGCGCGCCTGGACCGCCCTGCAGCTCGCTGTCTCCTGGAGCCTGACTGACCGCGCACCAAACCCACCTACTGCAACAAGAGAAGACAGAGAGTAATGCCTACTGCATCGGCCACATCAATGCCCGCTCCCTCGCTCCTCGGCTAAACGAGGTCTGCCACCTTGTGCAAAGCGAAGAAATTGAAGTTCTATGCATCTCCGAAACCTGGCTATCTAATTCTGTCCTCGACGGCGCTCTCATCGTACCGGGGTACTCATTATACAGATGCGACCGTCCTGGCGGGCGCCGAGGGGGCGGCGTGGCCCTCCTGGTGTCTGATGAGCTGCGCACGTCCCGCCTCCACGACACCAACAGCGACAACAACAGCTCCGGCGCGGAAGCCCTCTGGCTGTCCGTGGGCGGCGCCCGCCGAGCGACCGTGACTGTGGGTGCTTTCTACCGACCACCAGGTGCTTTGAACGCACAACAATTAGACTGCATTCGTAATCAGTTTGAGATCGCACTTGCATTAGGCAATCGTGTTTTTGCCCTCGGTGATTTTAATGTGAACCTTATGAATGCTGAATCTGCCGAATGTCGTAATTTCAATGCGTTGTTGAATGATGTAAATCTTGCTTAACATGTTTCTGATATCACACATCCACATCCATCGCCCGCATTGCTCGATTTGATCATATCTGACTCGTCTGTCATCGATGCCAGAGCCTCTGTTCATACTCATCTTTTAACTGATCATTTTCCTGTTATCATTCGTACAACCGCCACGAGCCCGGAGAGCTCCTGTGACTTTTCAGACACGTGCATGGAACAGAGTAGATTGGGATGCTTTCTCCCTCGACATTTTGTGTGCAAACTGGAACTCGTTTTACCTCGCCCCCGATATAAACACGAAACTGACATACTTTATGAATATCTGGAATAACGTAGTAAGTGTACACTGTCCTGTTACAACTAAACGTGTGAAGCGCCCTTACTGTCCCTGGCTCAAAAATGAAGAAGTAAGAACTGTTATGTCCGAGCGAGATGCTGCGCGTCGCGCTTGGAATCGAACCCATTCTGACGCGGACAAAAACGAGTACCGTCGCTTGCGCAATAGGGCCAAAGTTGTGCTGACCGAGCATCGTCGTTCCTACCTCACGGAATTGTTAGGACAAGACGCAAGGCGCTTTTGGGCGAGATTGAAAGACTTTGGCGCGGACCTCTCCTCTAAAAGCCACCGCTCCAAATCGAAAACAGCGGAAAACAGCCTCTCCGCAGACTCTCTAAACAAGCACTTTGCCAGCGTCGGTGCTCGCGTAGCGGAGGCCGCACACGCCGCTCGCCGCGACCACGGCCTCAGCGCCGAGCCTCGCCCAAATCGAGTATGTGCTACCTCTTTCGTCCCACATTGTGTAACCCTTCCAGAACTTTCGCGCATTATATCTCGGCTCGGAGCGTCACGGGCAGTAGGTTTAGACGGCATACCCCTGCACGCCCTCCGGAGTTGTCTCCCCGTCATAGTCCCCCATATTCTCCACCTTGTCAACACATCCATATCCACCTGTACCTTTCCAGATGCCTGGAAGGTCGCCGTCGTCACTCCCATCCACAAATCAGGAGATCTCAACGACCCAAGCAACTACCGCCCAATATCAATTCTTCCAGCCTTATCAAAGATCCTTGAAAAAGTGGTATGCTCCCAACTCAGTTCCTACCTTATCACAAACCACATCCTCTCACCCTCCCAATACGCTTATCGCCCATCACACTCTACAGAAGATGCCCTCCTCGACATTGTCGGATGGACAGCTGAAAAGATTGATGTCGGTCACCTTGTGTCACTAACATCGATCGACTTGAGCAAGGCCTTCGACAGCGTCGACCACCCGATACTGCTGGACAAGCTAGAGTGGTACGGTGTATCATCCAGCTGGTTCAGCAGCTACCTGTCCGGCCGCTCCCAACTTGTCCGTGGAGGATCCTCAGCGGCTGTTCCTCTCTCACATGGAGTCCCCCAAGGCTCTATAATCGGTCCCATCCTCTTCCTCATCTTCATCAACGATCTACCATCTTTCCTGCCCCATGGTAGACTAGTATCCTACGCAGATGATACCCAAATCCTAGACTCAGCACCTAACAATCCTGACGAACTCCAAGCGCTGAGGTATCGAGCCGAAAATAATGTTGAATGTCTTCAGCAATGGTTTAGTAGAAACAGCCTGAAAATGAACGCGAGCAAAACTTCCTTCATTATCATTGGCACAGTAAATGCAGTTGAAAAAGCATCATCCTTCACGATTCGGATAAATAACGAAGAAATCCGGCCACAAAAACATCTAAAAATCCTGGGCGTTGAATTCGATCAGACCCTCACCTGGGAGCGCCACATATCCTCAATCGCCCGGCGTACCAACGCAATAATCATATCTCTTTTCAAAATCCGATCTCACCTCTCAAATGACATCCTCAAAATTCTTGTACAGACCCACGTCCTCCCTCACCTTCAGTATTGCTTGTCAGTATGGGGTGGGACGACACGCACCCGCCTGAACCGACTGCAGAAGGTCATAAATTTTGCCGTCCGACTGGTATCTGGTTTACGCCGAGGCGACCATATATCCCCCGCCCTCGCGACGCTTGGGTGACCCGATATCGACACGCTAGTGATGCGTCGCGACGCGATAAACATCTACCGCGCCCTACACAGGCCCATGTCACTCCACTTTTGATGACATCATATGGGGGCCTCAGGACAATAATGGCGCGGCGCGCCACAATCGCTTCAAAGCTACTTGCCAACAGTTGCCATTTTTTAAAATATTATTTTGAAATAAAGTTCCAAGTAATAAAAATATTGTAATAAAGTTGTTGAATAAAT